CCCCCTCTACTGATATTACAAAGAGTTTAGCCGGACATCACCTAATGTAATGGGGAGCTATAAGGAAAAGACATTACATTAAATGGCGCCCAACGTGGTTTGCTGTATATTCAAGTGTGTGTGTTGTGTGGACCTTTTCAATTAGTATTTATTACTTTACTCAGCATATAGAAGTCTGCGTGTACCTTGTTTGTTTTAGTTAGGAGAACCCTTTGGAGTAGGGTGTGTTATTGTTCGTTATTGTTGTTATTAATTTATTTAATTCACTTGCTAGTTACCTTAGCATTGGCTACGTTAGTTTTCTATAAACTTAAGTGTTTCACTGAGTTGAGTCGGTGAAGTTTCCTTTTTGAATAGTGATCGTATCACTCTTTCTTCTATTTTCTAATTTTCTAATTTTCTAATTTTCTATTTTGAAGTATAGTACCTGATTAATTGTAGTATGGCATTACCTATTTTGCTAGGAGATAGCATACTTAGAAGGTTGTTTTTAGGCCATAAATCTTTATTCGACCCTATCAGTGCCAGGTTCTGCAGGCCTGGTCAGAGGGTGCTGGAGCTTTTAGCTCTTATTAGAGAGGGCAGGAAGGATCTGTGTGGTAAAGAGGTTGTTGTACTAATAGGCACCAACGACATTTGGAAGGGTGCAGAAGTCGCTATTTTGAAGAAGGCTCTTAGAGACCTTATCAGATACCTCAAGAGGCAGAAGTGCATTATTACTTTGTGTGAGATCCTTCCCATGCCATTGTTAGAACGGCAGGCCACCGTTGCTGACAAAATAAATAGTTATAATTCTTACATAAGATCTTTTGAACCTTCGGGTGTAAAAGTGTGTAAGCTTTTTGATTTCTTTAGGAAGTCAGGTACTACTACTGTAGGGTTGTTTCATGCAACCTATGCTAATTCTATGCGTGTGGACCTAATCCACCCTAACAAGGAAGGGTTGGATATAATACTTATCTCTTTAAGTGTTTGATTGTTTTTGTTGATACTACTTAATATTTTCTTCTCTTGATAGTGTTTGGGGTTGACAGCCCCGAAATTGTATATATATTTTATTGTTGGTTTTCTTGTTATAAGGTACACGGAGGCGACAGCAGCGGAGGCAGTAGCGAGGATTATTTCTCAAACCTTTCAAGTGGATTGTTCGGGAGGCCCTGTGGAGGAGGGCAGCGTTATTCAAGATATATTGTATCCTTTATTGCTATATTGTTGTATTACTGTTCCAAGTAAGTAGAGTGTAACATGGAGATCCACAGGCTGGATAAAGATGAGCTGATCTATGAGTGTGCCATACGGGGTTGGAAAACCACAGAGGTGATAAATGCAAGGGTGGCAGACCTGAGGGCAAAATTACGGGAACTATTGGATTTGCAAAAGGAGGGTCAGGAGTTGGAGGACTTGCTACTTCCAATAAATGTGGAGGAGGAGAAATTCCTCCTTGAGGCTAAACTTCAAGTTGTTGAGGAGATGTTGGCTAAAATGACTACCATCACTCCAGAAGAGGATCAACCATCCCCCAACAAAGTTAGGACCCTTTTGTCACACTGTAACAAAAGGCTGACAAGGGCTTACACCCTTGGAGAGGAGGCAAAGCGAAAAATGCTGAAACCTCTGTTTATCCAACTACGGGAGCAGGTTAACACCTTCAAGGGGTTGGGTACAACAGGTGTTTTTAATGCCACAGTGGTTCCATCGGTGTCCTCAATCTCTGTCAAGTCTAAGAGTAAAACTAAGAGTAGGCGTTCCTCGTCTAGTTCTAGTTCAAGGTCTAGCGGTTCCAGTACAAAGAGTAGGTCCAGGTCTAGGAAGCATAAACACAAGTCTCACAGTAGACTACCATTAAATTTTGAGAAATGGAACGTCTCATTTAGTGGTAAAGATAGTGAAAGTGTGCTTGATTTTATTGAGAATATAGAAGAGAAAGCGTCTTGGCGGGGTGTCAAGTTGGACAGACTTGTGCCTGGGTCAGTAGAATTTTTGAAGGATAGGGCTTTGAAATGGTTTCGAGGGGTCAGACATACCCTAGACAGTTGGGAGGAGATGAAAATTGCCCTGAAGAAAGAATTTCTGCCATTAGACTACAGTGAAGATTTGTGGGAGAAAATTAGGAGCCGTAAGCAAGGGATGCAGGAGTCTGTGGGAGCTTTTGTGTCTGATATGCTTTCCCTTTTTGAGAAACTTGAATTGACTGAAAGTGTCTCTGAAGAGAAGAAATTATCAACTATTACTAATAATTTGAACCCCTTCTATTTGCAAGGATTAGGCCTTACCCAAGTTCTCTCTATAGAGCATTTAAAAACATTAGGCAAGCAACTTGAGGTTAGGCGTACTCAAGTCGAGGCTTATAAGGGAAAGGGCAAGCCTAAGGTTGATGACCCTCCCAGACCAGTGAAGAGAGTGAAT